AGGTCTGTTGTAGGTGTTTATTCCCTAGGACCGTGAGATTGCACTGAACACTGATCAGGCAGGAGGAGGCATACGAGCCTTGTCTCTCGCTTTCTGAGTATCTTACGTGCAGGCTGTTAGAGGTGGGACGTGCGCTGTCCTGCTGCCCTTCCCAATGTTAACAGCTGAGCTGACCGGCTCTACCAGAGCGGTGGTTCAGGTGCCTACAGCCAAGTGCGTATTTCACAGGGCTGGAAGTCTTCAAAGACCTCATCTTCAGCTTCTCCTTTTTCTGAATATGGCTTGTGAACGCTTAAGCCTTTGTTTTGCAAAAATTTAGCGATACTGTTTATGTGCTGTAGAATGCCTCCTTTAGGAGGCACTGCCATATCAGACAGAAGTCTGTATGATCTGAGTTTTCTCTCTTTCTATCTCTTCAGTACTCTTCCCAGATTGTATTAAATATTACTCTGTGTCTTCTAAGGTCTCTTACCCGTTACACATTTCACTTCAGTGATAGGTTGGAAATTTGTTTCTCATTCCTGTTGCTGGTAGCGTGGTATTCTTGTTTGGCTTTGCAAAGCTGAAAGGGCTAGAGATCATTGTCAAATACATGCTATGTTTTAATCTTTCAGGATTCGAGTACCAACAGTGTTATCTCAGAAATCAGTAATAAAATTGACACTGAAATAGCTTCCTTAAAAACGCTCATGGAATCGAATAAACTTGATACAATACGTTATTTGGCAGGTATGTGATAGGCAAGGAGGTGAGTACCAGTATTGTACCTTGGATGTATAAAATTTCATTCAAGAGTATATGCTAAGTCAATTCCAGAAGTGAGTTGTGTAGCAGCAGACAGCTGGGATTGGGTGGGGCAGATCCCCCCATGACTGGAAGAACTGTGACATAGAACACAGAAGAGATGGGAGCATGCAGACACTGCTGCGGTTCGACTAGGATCGCACCCAGAACTGGGATTAGGAGGAAGAGGGACATGATTTTTAAAAAAAAAAAAAAAAAGCCTAAATACTTTGTCTAGTCTGACAGTACCTCTGCTTGCTGCAGGGCAGCCATTTATGTGGTAGAGTTGCTAAAAAAGTTCTGCTGAGGTCACTGAAGTTCCCCTGAAAGTTAGCTGTCGTTCAGGACTCCTCTGAGAGGGGCCAGTTCTGCCTCCCCTTCACTCCTCCACATGTACTGTGTTTCAGCGTGGTGGAACTTGTACTTTCCCCAGCCATGCAGACCAAATTTCAGTCTAGTTTGAGACTGTCTTCTCAATATATACATAACCAGTGAAATTGTTACTGTATTTGGAGCTGGATAAAAAGAGAGTGACACATCATATTTGGAAGTGAGAACCAAGTTCAAAGGGAAACATAGCTTTATTCTAACACTAATTGAAACAGCAGCTTAACAAATCTGAAAGACAACTCAGCCTGCAGAGGTGCTGCCCAGATATCCTAGTGTTGTGTCAGATACGTGTATTGTTAGTTCATTGTCATTTTGTTCAGGGGGAAAGCACTTTGTCTAATGCAAGAGCCAGTACAGCCATCTCTCCTGTGACACAGTTTCCAATAGATGGGTGACAACAGTAACATCACTATAGCCTTTTGTGCCCACCTGGGCAGTGCTGCTCTACAGGATATTACATCTAAGACACATCGTTGCCTTCTAAAATTATTCCATCACACCTGCAGCAATTCAGGAAGTTTAGGAGACTCTGCTCTGGAGTTGTTATCATTCTTCCATCTCTTTGCAGTTAATTTCCTATATGTAGAAGGTGATACAATTTAGCATTCAGCTAATTATTTCCTTTTTTTTTTTTTTTTAACAGCTTCAGTATTCACTTGCTTAGCGATAGCACTGGGATTTTACAGGTTCTGGAAATAGATCTAAATGGAGTGACTGCGTCAAATACCGACAGAGAAAAGACCACCCAGGCAACATCAGTTCAACGATCATGTTTGTGCTGTAGATAACCTTGGTACCTTTTTGTTTTGATATTCTTACTGTACACTAAAAATCTTTTCTGAATATGTAACACTGAAGATCAAAATAACTGGGGGGAAGTAGGCAAGTAGTAGTATTTCATTGTCCCCTATTGAATACTGTATTTATTTCAAAGGACTTCTTATGCTAAACCAGAAAGTGTTTCCTAATGTGTTTTAGAATTAATTTTGTTTTCTTTCTGAACATTCTCAGTGGAACATTCTCACTGTCAGCCTCTCAAAATGGAAATATTAATCATTTGATAGGCCCTTGAAATGGGAATACGATTCCCAAGTTAGTATGCCCAGTATGGTAATACTGATGCCAGATTCCAACAGATCTACTCTGATCCAAGTAAATTAAGCTTAAATATAGGATCTGGATTTTTGCCTTCAGTCTGTTCCTCTCTTTTCTGACAGATTGAAGCCTGGCCCTTTGATTTTGTTATTTATATATAAACACACACTCCAAGGCCTTTACTGAAGAATCCTTGTTTTTCTTGAAAACTGCTTTACATAAATTTACAATCTCTTGCAGAACTAAAATGTCTCCATAGATTTGTTGGGTTTATTTTTTTAGTATCTCTTGCAGTTTCCATAACCCCAGAGGTCAACAGAATGGGAGAATTTTTCTTTCCAAGGGGAAATGTGTCCACTCTCAGCAACTGTGTACAGCCCTGGGGCAGATAAGTGCTCTGAACTCCTCCCTTCAAGTAGTGCAGAGTATTTCCAATAAACCCTCACGTACTTTCTGGGCAGAGGATCTGGCTTGTAACATGGAAGTATTCAGCGTCTCAGTGGTGCCGGTGGGGTGAGGGTGGTCATCTTCCTCCTGTCTCCACAGTCCTCCTGACTGTTCCATAATCCTGTGGGACACACTGACTCCTCACAGCTGGTCACGACCCCTCTACCTTCAGCAAGGACTTAACACCTCTTGTTGCAGAGATGGGACAGAGCAGGGGAAAGCCATCCCAAACTGAAGTAGTCACATCTTGTTGAGTACAAATGCCTATGTTTGGTTTGATTCTTTTAATAAAATAATAATTTTTAAAAAATCTTCCTGGATTAAACTTTTCAGTAAGAATAGGCCCTTTATGGGCTAAAGAGTATGTAGTACTGATTGGTGGCAATTTTTTTTATTGCCATTTTATTCTGTTTACAGTTGAACTTGCTGGTATCCTGCAAATTCTTACATTCTGTGCAAGAAATTATTTATGAACTTCATTTAAGAAAATAAAATTATTTTCTTATGTTTGCTATCTGATGATCTGAGAGACTTGTATACAGATTACTAGACTGTAAAAATGTGGCTTTTACAACAGGCACAGTGCTATTATACTGGGACTTGAGTCTGCTTTTTCTGTTGTCTCTGTGTTTGTCAGTAGGCATGGATGCTGGCAGCATGGATCTCAGCAGATGGCCAGCAGCCACTTGTGTCCATTGTACCTGTTGTGTGTACAAATCCGTCTTCTTGTAACCTATAACCATTTATGAGGTTCTCTCAATCACAGAATCGTTTAGGTTTGAAAAGACCCTTAAGATCATCCAGTCCAACCATTAACCCAGCACTGCCAAACCCACCACTAAACCACATCCCTAAGCAGCATGTCTACACCTCTTTACCTCCAAGGATGGGGACTCCACCACTTCCCTGGGCAGCCTGTTGCAGTGCTTTACAACCCTTTTGGTGAAGAAATTCTTCCTCATACCCAATCTAAACCTCCGCTGGTGCAGCTTGAGGCCATTTCCTCTTCTCTGATCTCTTGTTACTTGGGAGAAGAGACCGACCCCCACCTCACTACACCCTCCTATCAGGTCGTAGAGAGCCATCAGGTCTCCCCTCAGCCTCCTCTTCTCCAGGCTAAACACCCCCAGCTCCCTCAGCCGCTCCCCATCAGACTTGTGCTCCAGACCCTTCCCTGCCTTTGATGCCCTTTGGCTGCGGAATGATTGGGCTGATTGTTTGCACTTTTCCTACATGAGAGTTTAGCACCAACAGTGACATAAGAAATAGCTCATCTACTGCAGCTTCTCACCACCATCATCCCACACACGCTGAAGTGGGCTCTAGAGACTGAATTTCTCCTCTTTAGCACCAATATGAAGCTTATGCTGTTAGTCAACATGCCTCTCCCTCAATCTGTGCACACAAAAGATTGATCATTTCTTCAGTACCTTTGAAATTCTCAGAGATTAAGTTTCCTTTGCTAATTAAGGAGAGGGCAGATCACGATTCAAGCGCTAGTAAATTAACCTTTAAGTGCAAGGATTTCTTACTGAAATCAAAACTCTCAAAATATTATGCACAATGAGGGTTCCAAAGAGAAAAGAATTTCACAACAGCACACAGATAAGAGAAAAATCTTTATATGTGAAGTCATTAAATGTTTTTTAGGCAAGGAGAGGTCAGGATTGCCATTTCTAACCTGAACATGCCCCATAACCTGGTGAACTCCAGCCCTGAGTTAGACTGGGAGGCCCACCACTGTGGTTCATCTGGCAGCTCATGAAGGAGTCACTTCTTGACTTGTTTAGGAATGACCTGAAGATGAAAATCAAGGGGCCTGGCACCTGTCTGCGGCTGCAAAGTACTTCTGCCAGAGACTGTATTCCGGTTCGTCACTGAAGGTCCTATCTGGTTATTTTAGGAGGTAAGGGGCTTTCTATTTTTATTACTCCTCCTAAGGTAGTAGTACAAAACGGACTGGTAGATGGGGATACTTTTCTCAGACCTAGTAGGGCCTATGACATTGCTGCAGTTAACTCTTGAAATGTCACATAATTTGCAAAGCTGGTGCTAAACTACTACCTGGACAGGAAGAGAAGTCTTTCTGGGTTTTGGTTTTTAAATAAAAAATGCTGCTGCTGTGATTTAAAAATATTTTCTATCCCAGAGAACTACAAAAATAGTTCAGTGAAATGGAGAGAAGCACAACTTATCTGTGGAGCTGGGCTGTGCAAACCCTTTGCATTGTCTAGAACATTGCCATTCTACCTCAGTCTGCCTGCCCCTCGTCGGAGGTTCATTCCTCAGCGCAGTCTCACAAACACTCCTCCGGGGCTGCAGGCTGGTTTCTTCACTTTCTTTTTCTCTTTGCAAGACTTGGAGATGGTCTCAGCTTCCTGAAACAAAGGACATTGCAGCCATTAAATAGCCATCACTTAAACCTGCTAACTCCTAAGACAGGATTTAAAAATAATAATGGCTTTGAGTAACCACAGAATATTGTGTTCAAACTGAAGCTGAGGGCAGAGCGTAATGCCAGGGCCTGGGATGACAGTCACAGCAGGGTGAGATTTGAAGTCCCCTCGGTTGTAGCAGTCACTCAGAGCAGAAGTTTTTGAAAGCAAACTTGCCTCAATAGAAGTTGTCTCCAGTCCCAGCTAGTAAACTTAATGTCCAACTAGACTTTTTCAGACTACTGCGGGTAAAAAAACCTGACTACAGCCACTCTTCCACCTTAGAAAGTATGCTACAGTTGTCCTCGATTTTTTAAACCTGCCGGGGAGTAGAATGAGTCGTGTCTTAAAGCAAGCTGTGGAAGCAGAAAGTGGCTTTTCTTTCAAAGGTGGAGGTACCTGAGGGTCTCAGCAGCATGGAAAAGACCAGTCCCAAGGATAGAGTGGGAAGCAAACAGCTGTAGGAGCATCACAGCTTATATATGGTGGTGGGAAAAGTGGGCACAGCCTAAAGGAAAGGGAAAAAAGGCCCAGGAGGGCAGGAAAGGTGCAGAAACAATCCTGCAAGGGGGGACGCAGCAGGAAGAAAGTGGGCATGGGGGATAGACAAGAGATGGAAAGAACTGTGTAATGTGGTTGTCCCAGACCACAATGCATTGTTCAAGCACACACAGGTGTGTGAGAAGTTAAGCTCTGAAGCCAGCACCCTGCACAAGTGTGTGACACTTTTTGTGATAATCTGTAAAAAAGTAAAAAATTTAAGAGGATAAAACCCTCTGTGTTCTTGTGTATTACAGAATCCTACAAACCCACAGTTGCGATCTCTACACACCTGCAGGCCGGGTAACCCTTTAGGTGGTGACACCACCTCTCCTGCAGCACCAGACACCAGGTACCAGCCAAGATGAACTGTCAGTCACTGCATATGTGGCGTGGAAGTACCCAGGGAACAGTCCACTCCCTTTTGTTAATATGAAGGTGAAGAATATTGGTGCTTCTCTGCCAGGGTACAAAGAGAAACTGATATCCTTTCACAGCAGAGACACTGTCAGGATGCAACAAAGGCTACTGCTTGCCTCGATGTCCCATGCTAAAAGCTGCTAGCACAGTATTTCCTAGCACCGTGCCAGGGAATCTTGGGGAGAACAAACATGCACAAGCAACGGGCAGCAGCCTCTGTCCCATGCACTGGGGAGTTCGTGTGGCACTCACCAGGGGGAGAGCAGGGGGGACGTGGGTTTTCTCCAGGCTCGCTCTGAGATGGCTTATCTCAGCACGGTACTCATCCAGCTGGCTCTCCAGCTTCTCCCGCCTGACTCGCTCGTATTCTAGCTGGGCCTCCAGCTCCCTCACAGCCCTGCCAAGGAGAAAAGCAGAGCATGAAACACATCCGAACCTGCCCTGGCTACTCCACGTGGTCCTGTGCCTTTGCTAAGGAAAGGTTAGTCACAGCAGAAAGCAGTGCAGTACTGCTCACACCAGCTGTGCTGGAGTGAGCTACAATGTGCTTCTGGCTCGAGCCCCTTTTTAACAGCTCTAAACAGCTGCTGTTCTTTCTTCCCTTCTCTACAACTACCTGAAAGGACGTGTAGTGAGGTGGCAGTCGGTCTCTTCTCCCAGGTAACAAGAGATAGGACAAGAGGAAATGGCCTCAAGTTGCGCCGGGGAGGTTTAGATTGGAGATTAGGAAAAATTTCTTCACCAAAAGGATTGTCAAGCATTGGACCAGGCTGCCCAGGGAAGTGGTGGAGTCCCCATCCCTGGAGGTATTTAAAAGACGTGTAGATGTGGTGCTTAGGGATGTGGTTTGGTGGTGGGTTTGGCAGTGCTGGGTTAACGGTTGGACTCGATGATCTTAAAGGTCTTTTCCAACCTAAACTATTCTTTAATTCTCGGATTCCCTGTCAGCGGTGACCAGCGCAATCTGACCACGAGATGGAGACATCTTCCCACGCTAAGGTCTTGGGTAGGCTGTAACCCAGGTCCATCTCCAGCTGCGGAAAAGGGAGAAGCGCCCAAGGAGCAAAAAGGTTAGCAAGAATTAGAGAAAAAGCGTAAAACTGGGATTCTGGAGGAGTCAGGGCTAGCTTTTTCGTTTATGTCTGGTGCCTCTACATTCTTCCTATTGATTGGCTTAGCCGCAGATGAGGAATACTCAGATGACAGCCTGCATGACACTTGCTGAAGGGAAACTGAAGCACTGGCTCATAAACAGTTGCACAAGATCTCATCAGTCACACCCACAACGGCTCCTAAATTAATTGAGATTCCTGGAACTGGTTAGCTGAGACATAATTCAGATACAATCTTATTATAACAGCAATTGACCTCAGGAACTGAGTCATCTGGAGTTGAGCTGGCTCTCCTCTGTATCAGGATGAATAATGAGGTTTTCTGGCATACAATACAAGCATCTTTATCCACAGGTAGGTACCCTGATAAGGGTAGGTAGGTACGCTGAGAAGCAGTATTTTCCATTTCAAAAGGCCAGGACGGAGCTAGGGATGTTTTCTGGCCTCCACGGCTGAGAGAGACCCTTCAGAGATCCTCACAATTTTTCTAGTTAAGCCACATTGTCAGGGAAAGCAAAATCCCTTAACGAGCCTTATCAGAGCCCTCTAATAAGCACTGCTAGCTTTTGAGTACCTGCTCTATCCAAAATGAAGTCTAATTTCCACCATTAGTCAACAGTGACTTTTCCATCATTGCAAACAGATTGCTCTGACCTTCCAACGTAGGCATCAATCTCTGAGCTGGTCACCCTCCTGCTTTAAAGTCAGGAGAGACACTCCTAGAAGTGGTGAATCCCATCCTGAAGTATAGGTCTAACTATGCCCTGAAAGTGCCTACATCTCTCCAAGACCTCTAAAAAGGAACTCAAGGTAACTAACTTGAATGCAGATACCTACATTGCAGACAAGTAAAGGCAGATGGACTTTCAGCCTGGGCTGAGTCAAAGGGTGATCTGGAACCAAAAGAAATCCTGACCTCAGTTTCTTGGCTCATACAGGGTTGTAAAACAAACTACTTAATTCAAATCTGTGACACCTATTACCTGCTCCGGATCTACACAGACTGGTAAGTCTGTTGTCTTCTTGATGGCATACAAGCCCTCTGGATACAGTCTCCTCTCAGTGACCAAATAAAGATAGTGGTTTGGGGTGGCCCGAACACATAATGGATGTGGTTATCTAGAGAGACTGAGAACAGTGGGTAGCCAAATCTTTGACAGCTAGAGGTGGAGACAGGGCTGTCTTTTGGATGCTACATTACTGTTTGAGCTCTAAATCTTGGATAGACAGAAGGGCTTTTCTTTGAAACTTAGACAGTCTGCCCATCAAATCACCTGAGCCTAACAGAAACCTTTCATTTAATGGAGACCCTGAGAATTAGACAGACATTATGAAAAGTGCTTCACATGCAAGAGCAGGTTTGCTGAGATTTCTTTTTTCTGTGGTCTGGATATGAGTTAGTGCTTTCTCAAGCATAGAAATATATTGCCCTTGACACAGAAATGTAGCAGGTCATTGAATAATTTCTGCTGTATATGCACTTCCATCCAAGCTATGCTAAGACTAATGCCTTTTTTCAGATTTATCAAAGTGCATACATGTATTTGGCATCCTCAATGCAAATTAAAAAAAAGAACCAGCCAGGACTTATCAGACCTACTGCACATATGCTGCCGGAAAACCTGAGGGCCGAACAGATATCTTTCACAAGAAGTGTGGACCCATCAAACACCTGTGTTGTGCTGTGGGGCTGATCCTGGTGGTAGAAGTTTAGAAATGGTCATACAAATTGCTGAAGTCCCTTTCTTTTTGGTGTGGCTAAAGTTGGTAAGTGGAAAAGGCAGAACGGTGAAAGCAATTTAAGTGTAAGTTAGCCTTAAAGAAGGCTTTAAAATGGGCCTCACAGAGTTAAAACATTAGCAGGGCAAATTAACCTTACTTCTCAACTTCCCTCTCTTCTTTTTTCATTTTCTTCTCCTCTTCAGTTATTCCTCCCAGCTGTCTGTAGTTGCTGTAGGCAATTTCTAGAAGTTGCTGAAGTTCTTGAATCTTGCGATAGGCCCTCACTGCAAGACAGAGTTCTCCAGGTAGGTAAAATGCATGGAGAAGACAGTCATACTGGAACCAAATAGTCTGGAAAATAGTCTCACAAACACAGAGCAGAAACCACACGGCTCAGCAAATATTGAGCTACACCTGACACCCACACAGCAAACAGCTCTCAAAACCAAGCAGCAATCCAACATGGTTTTACCAACATGGATTAAAACAGCGTAACAATTATGTTCTTATTGCCCTCTGCTATGCTAATTTTCCACAATTTGTTTGAATGCTCAGTGGTACAGATACCCTGTCAACTATCTCATCTTACAACAGTCACAGCAGTTGGCAGAAACTGCGCAACTGGGAATATGATGCCTTGAGATCAACTTTGTCAAATAAGGAGTGATGGAAAGACATTGCTTACTGCGTGCGTTCCTTTTCTCTGCTTTATCCAGGGTTAAATCTTCTTTGCTATCTGTACTCCCTTCCACACTGTGCCTTTCAAAAAACTTTATGTTGTTTGCATCGAGTTCTTCATCACTAGAGTTACCATCTCCAGTTCTTTGTGTCAAAAGTTCCACAGCTGCCAGTTGGGCAAATCTGCACAGAGAACAGTTAACCTACAGTGAAATATCCCTATCATCTGGAAAAATGCATGTGATGATAGAAACTCTCTGAAACTCTTCATGTTCCTATTTATCAGAGGGGGTTTCAGGATTAAAGATCAAAGAAAGCACACAAACTAGGAGCAGCTAATCTGCTTTTTGTAGTATTCTGATGGCATAAGCTCTGCCTCAGTGGAATCTTATGACAATGACTCCTACATCAGAGGTATGTTTGCCTTTGCAGGATTTCTTAATTGAATCTCATCAGAAACTGCGTTATTTTTATTAATGCAAAAATCAGCTGGCCTTCGCTACTTCTCATTTACTTTGTACACCAAACTGTGAGCATACTGGCTCATACCTTTCCTGTTGTAAATCAGCTTGTTTTCATCTTTTATGTCTGACCTTGCTAAAAAAAAATTTAAATTAAATTAGGTGAAAATTAAAACCTTGTATAACTACAATACAGCTTTGCTTGCCACTCAGAGATGGAATTCATGGGCCTGATCTGTTCTTGCTCCATCACTGAAAGTCAGGATTAATTCCAACAAAGCAGACATGATCTTGATATACAAATAGTAAGTGAATAAAGGACAGAGCTATAGGATATGTACTGCTACCTCTTAGCTACATCCTTTGGAGTCTCTCCAGCATCATTTGTAATGTCACAGTCAGCTCCCATTTCAATCAACCACTGTAAGCAATGGATATGCCCCTGTCCAGCAGCTAAGGGAAGGAAGGTGCACACAAGTCAGTTCTATATAACTGAAGGGTTTCAAGTCCAAAATGTCCTCCTCTTGTCATTATTTGACATGCCAGAGGTTGAGTTCACTAAGACACCACAGAGGAGATACTATTTCAAGAGAAGCCTGTATGTCGAGATGCTCAAGTCACATGGGCACACACAGTTTTGGGGAAGATCATGCAGTGTCGTTTCATGACTCACTCTAGTGCCAAAAATTTACCAGCAGCTCTTCATGGACACAAGTTAAACTAAACTTGCCTAGTCTCATGCACTGAGCATGAGACACACAAACAACTGCTGCCTCATACTCTCTTGCAGTAAGGCCTGTATCTCATAGATTTGCAGCAAAGCACTGTCACCTCTCTCTGGCTATGGGCTCCCATACATCAGAGCGAGCTGGTTGCCCTGATCTGTGGTATGTGGTGCTGTCTCATGGAGGAAAGAAGGCAGGGCTTTGTGCTGGAGCTCTAAGTACATAATTTCTTGGGCCGGACACTCCGGGCAACAATTCTCAGCTGCAGCCTAACACAACAGGTTGGCCTAGTCATACGATCTGGCATGGCTACTGCTCATACCATGTGGTGCCAGGAACGATGTTCCACATATGGAAGATGTTTGGCATGTCTAGCTGAAACTTGTAAGCCATTTTTCTCAAGGAAGAATAAATCCACTTCTTGACAGCATCCCCTTTGGATGTTTGCTATATTTGCTTTCTTACTGAGATAAGGAAATGAAATTATATATCAGCCATAGTATTTCCCCATAACACCAACATTGCATATAAAGATTGAGTATGAAACAATTGCTGGTTAGTACTGTTCCAAGAAAAGAGGGTGGGAAAGAATGTAGAAAACAGTTTTAAAATCACTACATGTCAATTTTTTAATGAGAACTTCTAGCATGTTTTTAAAAATTATACCATTTATATCTAGTCAAAAAGAAATGTGGGAAATAGTGTTAAAAGCATATTACAAAAATACCTCCCTCTTTTTTTCTCTCCTGTTTCTTCTTTCAGACATTACTACAAAACCCTGAAACACAAGAGGATGATTTGTCTGTAATGCTAGCACTCCACTACATATCAAGATGTTAGATACCAGAAATTTACCTTCCTTCGCAGCGTCCTACCAAATGACTTTGTTGTGATTTTTACAACAGATCTCCACAGTACTGGTTTGTTCAGTAAATAAAGGCTCAGGCTACAATACAGATCATTCTTATACCTAGCTAGCCAATGTTTCTAAAAGTCATATCTCACCTGATAAAAAAACTATTTCGTTTTCAGGTTAGATGTTGTTTTCTCTTTAATATAAACTCTTCTTTCTTGACTTCAGCTTGGTTATTTTGTTTTTAAAGTGTCACCTACGCACACATACATGACAAAATATGTTTCTCAGGGTTGCCCCTTCGAGCCCTCAGGAAATGAGATGCTGTTTTTCATGAAGTTTATCTGATGAGCAGCCACTTGAAAAACTTAAGTAAACAAGTCAGCAGCAAACAGTAACAAGCTGAAACACAGATCATAATTACTGACCTTTGTGCATGGGAGTAGATCCTTTATCATCTCGCTCATTAATATTGATTACTCCACTTCTCACTAATCTTCTAAGCACTAACAAATCCCCTTTGAAAGCAGCACCATGAGCTGGGAAAGCTAAAACTGAAAATGAAATGCAAGTATTTCCAAACAGATGCCAGTAATTCCACTAAACATGCTCGTATTTGTCTCTCATGGCTTGCCTCTCTCATACCAACTTCTGCATGGACACTTCATAGCTGTAGTTAGCAAGGTTGATGCACCCTTAATCAGTTAAAATGCAGCTGCGTAACTAGCACTGTTCATCATAGACTTGACTAAACATGCCTTGGTTATGGCTACAGGCATCTTATACAGTTAAGAGATTCATTACATAAACCTGAAATAACAAGTATGCCTTTGGTTTATGGTTGATGTTGTATTACTGGTGGTAAATGGAGTCAGTTGCCCATTTTGAATTCCATAGTCTAACCAAACATATAAGCTATTTTACTTCTTGCTTAAAAACTACCCATACAGACAATTTGATTTTTCTAGTTATTTTTTATAGACAGAGAGTACTGACATATACACATATATAAAATGAAAAAAGACTAGGAGATAAGGACAGCAAGTGCCTGGAAAAAGTAGAGAGGTGAAGGTGCAGTTTTCATATCCTCGCTCTGTTGAAGGTTCTCCTTACAGACCTCGTCACACTTGCATCTTTTGGCTGTTCTGACTGCAGTAGCACTGCTGGTTGGCAAGTAACCTTAATTTCGGTGGGACATTTCCAGACTAAATTGCTATTCAATGCAATTAAGGGATTCTGAGCAGGCAAATCTGAAAACTCATTAAAATTATACAGTTTTTCTGGATCTCTGCTGGAGCCTAAGAAGAACATGGATAACTTGGTATTCATAGTGCAACACAGTATGACAAGTTTCATTTTGATCATGAGTAAACCCAAGACATTTATAAAATCCCATTGAGTATCCCAGTAAGCGTAGTAAGCATTGAAAAGAACAGCTCTTCCTTATATTGGTAATTTAAATGTTATACTTCTGCTCATACAAGTTTTCAGAATCAAGCATTTCTATAGAATTACAATGCCTATCTTAACAGTATCTTGATCCATACTCACCCTCCTGTGTCTCTGGATGTTCTCCCTCTTTTTCCACACCATCAATATATTGCAGAATATTATCTTTATAGAACCGTTCAGCCAAGTCCCTTGGGGTCTCTCCTTGGTCATTCCTGGCTTTCAGTGTGTGCATGACACTGGCCATTTTACTGATCAAGAACTTAAAGCAATGCAAATGTCCTTCCGCTGCTGCCAGATGAGCTATAGCACAAGGTGAAACAAAGTATGTGAGAGCAGAGCAGTGCTGCCCACCAAGCAAGCAGTGCTCTCACCACTAGTTAGGTCTAGCTCATCTACCAGCACCTGAGCCATCCAACACTGCACAAGTAGCAGCAGCCTCAGTTGAACAAGAGATGTTCAGCTCCTCTCCAGGACAGAGTTCAGCTCTATGCAAAGGAGGTAAAAGAAAGCTGTGAAGGATAGAATCTGCAAAGAAGATTCCCTGGCAGAGCTTATTGCAGGAGATGACACTGCCAAGAGACCACCGAGCACTAGCTAGGAGAGTGCACTGCTGCGGTCTCATCTTCCCCACAAACACAAATCTCACTCTTCAGCAGCCGTCTGACTTCGCTGTCCTAGGGTTACTCATTATAGAGGGCCAGCAAGCTGTGTCCTTGATCAGGAGTTAAGGTCATTTCTGCTTTAGTCCCACCTCTACTGTGCCATCGCAAACAAGTTGCATCCCACCTTCAGTTACCCCACCTGTAAAATGAGGACAGTGACATTCACTTTACTGGGTAAAGTATTTGAAGGTACATCCCATGGCAGAGGCTTCTATTCACGGTACTTCTATTACACATTTTTTTCCTTCAACTATTGTAGACACTGCTGTGCGCAGGAGCTGCTCCACCTCATCACAGCAGTGACTGCTTCCCTGTGGGGGTCAAGTGTTTTCTTTCCTGTCCTTTAGGCTACGCTGAGGCTTAGTTATTTAATACTACTAGAGTGCTGGGCCTATAACCAAGTAAGAGGTATAAAAACCATGCTCGATATTTTGAAATTAGTAGTATTCTCTAGTCCCATTAATGGGAAGAAGTTGCCAAATACTTATTATGCGTTATCATTCCATGAAAATGCTCTGTAAAAGCTGGCTGATGTTCTACAGGCAAAAGGACTAGTTTGTCTCCAGGTAAGAATCTCATTATCTTCATAATTAATAAACAATGTACCCAGGACCAAAAATACCCATGTCACTGAAATTTTGGCATATGCAAGTTCTCTATTGCAAACCATCCACAGCTTTTCAGAGTGTAATTGCTCTAAAAGGTGATGGATATTGGTTTTACAGCAAGATGACAATACTTAGGTACAGATGACTGCTAAAATTTAATGCAACAAAGTCTGAGCTTCACTGAAATCAGGGCGGTTTTTCCCATTGTCTTAATTTTATTCAGTGAGTTAGTTACTCAGGGAAAAGTGAAATTAAGAGATATCTTGTTAAAGGTAAGTACTGATTACTAGTCAGCTAGTGAAAAATTGACTCAACCCTTATGAATCCACTTTCAGATACCTAAAATCTCAGGGATAAAACTTCACCTTTTGGGATAAAATTGGGGGGGGTTTATCAGATGTCTGTCCTGTACAGAAAGCGGTCAGAAAAGATCAACATTTTTGCAAAGATGGCAAGGGGAAAATAGATTAAAGAGTTGTATCCTGTCCATATCTTTTTGCACAGTTTCAGTGGGATGTTGTGGAAAGCACATAAAGGAGATTTCATAGGTGGCTTTTAACCTATGTGTTTCTTAGTAGCTAGTGCCCGACACAGAACTGTGCCGTACCATCCTCAGGCATGCTGAGCACTTGCAGATGAGACTAAAGCCAAAGGGCACTGTGATGTTAACGCATAATATGCAGCTCAGTGCCGAGAACTTTGAAAAAACTTGGCTCAGGCATCACAAATATGCAGTGGGTAGTTGGTGTTGGTATCCCAACTTCTCTGTGTTTCATCTCGCCTTTTATAAAATCAGGATAACACTGTTCACTCTTCTCAAAGTTGCAAGTGAAAAAACAGGGTCTGTGAAAAATTCAGATGTTGCACTATGATAAAAACTAATACTATATTTAGAACAGGTTTAACTAGTGAGCAATAAAAGAAGCATAGATATGGCCCAAAACCAAATACAGAGAGAAAACAAAATGTTGAATTAATAAGCACAGCCCCTTCTGTACATTGAATGAGCCACAGTTCTTCCAAAAAATTAGCATGCTATAGGTAATTAAAGCCTCTGCTATAACACACACATGCAAAAGACAGCCAATTTTTAAGTTTTAGGTGTATGGCATTGCAACCTCAGTGAATTTCTTTCAGTATTCTCTTAGGAAAAATTATAGCACTGTCCAGCAGAGCTTGAAGCTGAAGTATGTAAAGATGATTTAAGTTCACTTTGCTGTTTCACAAGCTGAGGAAAAGTTGGTCTGTACAGCACACCAATTCTATTAAACTTTTACTAGCAATGTTCCAAAGTGTTTTCTTTCCTTTGGATGATAATATGATTGAATGAAACAGAGCAAAGGCTGGAGAATCAAACTTCTCTAGACATCAAAATAGCAACAAAAACAATTTTCTACTAACCAGTATATACAGAACATTTAAGTAGAACTGTGCTGGCATTTGCTGTCTCTCCATAAAAGTCTGTTATCAGGGAAGTGTTCCCAAATGCAAATAACGGTACCTTCTATGCTACCACCAGTGTGCCTAACATGATGACCCCTTATTGCTAATACACCAGATGTCCTGCTGGGATGCAAGAGCCTCACATCCTTTAACAAGACCCAGGTGCAAAAGAGAAGAGAGATACCGGTTTACTAGATAAGTGGTGCTTAACAGAGGGCAAAAGATTCTAAGAAGGGATTTAAAAAGGTAATTCTATACAAGTTATAGAGAAAAAAATATGCTATTTGGAACAAATAATGTGACAAACCATAAGAAGAAAAATGCTAAAAGTGAAAGGATGCAATGAGAACCCAAGATATGAATAACACCATTCAACTTATAGAGGATATTGAGGCAGTGGCATGGTAGGCAGAGGGACACTGGAGAAACTATGAAGAGCAAAGAATAAACACTGTGGATTTTTTTGTGCTAAAGCGACTACGCTAATGATTATGAAAAGAGTACATATTACAGATAACACAGAAATACTGGTATTCCAGAGATCAAGAGGAAGAAATCACAGGTAAATGAGAACAAGGGTTTTACCAAATCAGTTATGAAACAGTGGGATACAAAAACCTGTATATGAACATGCCAGAATCTGATCACACCGGCACAGCCATTAAAACCTGGCACAAATTTAAAAAGGAGCACATAGCAGCTGAAACTGCCTCCCTCTCCACCCACCCTTCTCCTCCTGCGACCTCCATTGGCACACGCGCTCCATCACATGCATAGGAGATGATGCCCACCTACATAGCGCTTGCAACCAGGCTCAGCCCGCTCCCTATTCCAGCACCCAGGAGCTCTGATCCTTGCCAGCAGCAGCAGGAGGTGAATAGGATACTGTCACCAACAGAGAAATACTCTGGATTTTATAAATCCCCCATCATTACAAAAATGGAATAACTATGTTGATTGCATGAAATCAAATAGCAAAGCAAATGCTGCTAGTGTGCGTTACTTATAATTTGCTACAATTATGACATAACACAACAACTGTAAACCAAAGGTTAAAAAATGTACGATTTATCCTGATATACCTGGAAGGTTTCCATTGTTATCCTCATCATCTATACATGCTCCCCATCTAACAAGAAGCTGCAAACACCCCAAGCGACCATGAAAAGCAGCATAATGAACAGGCTTCCAGTCATTCCTGTCTGAAACATTCACATTCTAAAATGAAAGCAGCAGGTTAATTCGTTCATTTATGAATCTTAGACACAAGACAAATTTTATAAATAGGAATCAGCTGTTTGTTGTGTTAAATTATTTAAATCAAATCAAATAAAGTTTTTCAAAGTTCATGCCATGTATGCAGGTCCCATTACAAGATACATACTTTTCACAGGTTCTTAATTTTACTTAAATAATGCATATATAAAAGGTGCATTTTTAGACATGCTTATATCACTGCATTGGTCATTAGTCCTTAAATATGCACATGGATTGATTTTTTTTTTTAAGTTTATGTCTCCTTACTATAGATTTCTACAATTACAAAAAATCACAGCCACCAAAGCAGCTGATCTTCACTTAAGGACATCCTCAGTAAAATGCAGTTTACTCACATTATTGATTCTCTCTAGATTTTTGGATCATTTCCCTGATGTGCCTTACAATAAAAAAATGGAAATTTACCCTAAAAATAAATTCACCAGTAATTAATCTACAGTCCTAAATCTCAGTTTAAGCTAGAGACAGTTTTGTTTGGAAAAAGATACCAGACTTTGGCTCTGCACTAGGGAGCTGCAGGTAAAAGTCTCTCACCGCTCCACTTCGCAGTATGGTTTGCAAGGTGTAAGACCGCCCATGGGCTGCAGCTAAGTGTGACGGCGTGCACCCACGATCATCTTGAGCTTCTGCGTTTGCTCCATTTATTAACAAAGCCTAAAAGAAATGCAAAACAGAAGTTCAGTTCACAAGCTGAAAAAGCAAACATTGCCTAGCAGGATGACTTGAGATGACCAGCAGGATAACTCTGGGCTGACCTCAAGGCGCTGACACTACACAAAACAAATCTGTCTGCACAGATAGTGCAAATGAGTGCACTGTTGTAACAAGAGTGACTTGATTCCAGATGTGAAGACATCAAGATGAGATACTCATAGCTCCATCAGGAGCTCTCTCAGCTGATCTTCATAATGAATTTGTCCAAACTGATGGTCCACCCTATGTACTTTCTCTTGAGAGTGAATATTTATACATACCTGCATGCAAGCATCCTGACCTCGGATAGCTGCAAGGTGAGCTGCTGTCCAGCCTCTGACAGCCATGTGTGTGACATCAGCTCCATGCCAGAGCAACCAGTGAAGGCACTGCTCAACCAAAATCAAAGTTTTTATTTAACTATTCTTGTCATGTATCTGAGGCACATTTTAATCATAATTTAACTATATTTCAAAACAGTATCGGAATACGTCATTATGGAAACATAACACTCCAGAGCATGCCTTAGCCAGATACTTGTGCATTAGGAATTCACAGGTAAGTTATACTTTCCAGGTTTCACCTAAGTGCAAATAACCTATTAATTCAGCCCCTAGGCATTGGTTTTACAGTACGGCTTCTTAATTTTGCTCTTCCAGATGTAAAATGTAAGCTGTGAGAGTATTCACACGGCATGAGGTAAAAGCATTGGAAAAAACAATGCAAACATGCTCACTTGAATTCCAGCTAAAATTACTGGCAGGAAAAATGCCGTGAACCAAACTTAAAGCCTCATTTAATTTATTAGGCTCCTTAGGTGTATGTAATCCCATCTCTCTTCTCATCCTTCTACAACCTACTTTTGTTTTATTCACATTTTTCCAGCAAATACTATTGCTTGCAAAGCTTTATAGACTATCCAAAACCAGCTAGAGGACCAGTCAAAAATTTTTGTTATGTATTATTATGATTTATTATCTTCTTTTAGGCCAGCCTACAGCTCTGGTTCCTCCACTGTTTCCAGCAAGGAGCTTAGAGACAAATAGATGACAGATAACTCAATAAAGTCTAATACATTGATTGCAAAGTAGGAGAGTCAAATGAAAAATGGCAGAATTTAGAGGCAGAAAAGGGTGGGTAAGCAATCTATTTTTAGGGTTGACAACACGATGACCAGCATTTTCTTGACAGTTTCTGTTCATTCCAGAAACAGCACTGCACTTATTATTTCATGAGTTTAGCAAGAACTTTACATTCTTTCCTTTGTGACATGAATTTTTATCTGATTATTCACGGCCTTGCTGCTTTAAGGTTAGACTGCTATAAAGATTGTACAAGGATGCTGCAACAAGAAGGTGAATGTTGTGCTGAATACAGCAGTTCAGTCCTTCTGGAAGTTCAAAGCATTCATGCATGCACCTGCTGATTTCTCCATCAATATTCAATGTTTACATTTATTAAAATGAAATGTATTAGGACTATTTCTATAGAGAATGAGGTATGGGACAGGACATTGGTAAACAGAATGAAAATGTTTTCATTTCGCTTCTCACCTGTTTCAATCACCTTCAGATCATTTTACACATCCTACAGTATTTTCTACGTGTCCCAAGAGAAGGCGAAAACAAAAAATCTCGCAAAGTTGACTATATAAACTGAAGCCTGGGGCTTCAGACAGGCAAAATGAAAACCTAAAATCATGTACTTCTGCTCTTGATTATTATATTTAATAAGAAAAACAGGCAGAGATTGATTTAGCTTGATCAAAGCTAGTGATTTTATATTCAGCCTTTCCCTAGTAAGGAAAACATTAACCTACAAAAACCTTGCTGTGTTTGAACACTAATAGAATGTTTTACCTCCAGACTTCCAGAGTGTGCAGCACACTGCAATGGTGTGAATTTGTGGACTAAATCCACCTCATTAATACCAGCTCCACTTTTTATCATTGACGCAAGCTGTTCTACATCACCAGCTTTCACTGCCTCATGTACGCTAGTATAATTTTGCTTCTTCTTGACAGCTAGTGAGGAATAATAAAAGGGCATTAGTCAGTTCAGCAACATTTAAGAGATAGGAAATAAGTGATGAATCAAAGAAACATCAGGGAATTAACTTCACAGGACCCAGCCAAAATGTTCGGAGGAACCTATGAGATTGAGATTCAAGAAAAACTAAGTGTCGTCTTCTGTTTGTCAGAAACAGAGCAATATACAAAAACCTGAGACAGCCAAGCCCCCTCCAGCTCTAGAAAAGGGCCCAAAAGAGTAAAATCCAGAAATGACAAGAAGCACAGCGAGAGCAGGAAGCAGAGCTACTCCATCCATGTATGCAAATGTTAGAGCAGGTCCACCCCTACATTGGCTCTCTTCTGAAACTGCAGGCATCACAAACTCTTTCATTAATCACATTTTCAAGTACGACACCAGGGAGACTTCGCACTTGGGCAAACAAGCTCTTGGCCATCACTTCCCAGGTGCTCCACATGGCCATGCTCCTGCTGCTGACACCTAAGGACTTGGCACAGCACTGCATACCACACTGGAGGGCACCAGAGCCTTCACCAAGTGCGCATATCACGTAATTGCTCTTGACTGAGCTACATGGATCAGCTTCAGGACAAGTTGCTGTAGAAAACCAGTTCTTTATACAACATGTTAGGAATCCTGCATTGCTCTCTTGCTAGAACTATGGCATTGCTCTGTCGCAGCTCACCGTTAGCAGCCTGGTATTTCGCTCCCACCAAAGTCAATAACGTTTTTCTACATGTAGAAGCAGTGGAGTCAAAAAAAACCAAACCAAACCAATCTATCACCAGGCCACGGGAACAAATAACCTGTGTTCTTCTTCAAGCCTTTCCACTGATTAACTACATTCCTGGAAACAATGGGAGTTATATATCACCCTCCTTGCAACATCTTGATACCTTGCCAAAATTTGTAAACAGAAATAAGTGATGTAAATAGATCTAATGGCTGAGGGGGCTAATTTCAGATAGCCAAGCATAAGAGGAACCTAAACCAATTAGTAATCACCTTCTAGAGTAGTCATCATTCCAGTACCAAAATGCACTAACACTGTTTCATAAGATTTCACTAAGTCTTGAAGAGCTGGGCTGCTGTTTTGCAGGACAAACAAGCATGAAAACGTAGGTCTTAAGGTATTAGTGCTTCAGCTTCCCCACCTGTGGAGAAGAAATGGTAGCAGTAGTTAAAATTGTTTTACAATTTGAGATAAAAAATATGGAAGAATATAAATGAGATATTGCATGAACATGTTTGTGATATATGTAAAAAGCACTAAATGTGATTAAAAACAGCCTTTGCAGTTTACTAGTGCCTATTTTCATTTAGTCTGTAGTGTGACAGTAGTGCTCAGGCAGATTTGAGGTTGCAACAGAGAGGAAAAGAGGGCTGAAGCTGTCCCAATAATCCAGGCTGAGAGTAACACACCCTATGCTCTAACACACCACTTGATCTTGTGGCCGTGTGTCACTCCACTTCCACCTGCACCAACTCAGCAGGCTGTATCGCTGCCCTGCGCAAGGTGGCTCCAGTTAGGAACCAGGACTCCATTGTGCAGAATACTGTATGAACAAATTGCAGCAGCATAGAAACACAGAATCATTCAAGTTGGAATGGTCCTCAGGAGGTCATCTAGCTCATGTTTCCAAATTTAAGTACATTTTGTGGTTTGAGTTGTTTTTTTAAAGAGACAATATCACCAGGACATAATTTTCGCATAAGGGAGGCATTTCTCATTGTGCCAAGTGGGGGTTACAGAATTCAGCACAATTATACAGACTTAGATCAGACGAAGATCTGGCCAATTACACTACTTGCCAAAATACTAATGTGTTTAACACAATATTCCAGTGCAGCAAGTTCAAGGTAATCTATACTTTTTTTTCAATCCAGGAGAAAAGCAAACGACAAGGCCCACCAGCAGGAGTAAATTTTGTCTCCCTTCTCCCTTTGGAGACCTACAACTGTACAGAGAACGATGCTAAGTGCTGCTGCATGGCTTCTTGGCACAGGCCACCGCCAACAAGCCGAAGGCAGCTGCCTTGGGAGTGAAGTTCAGTAAACTGCTGTTATCATGAATTCTGTTAAAAATACATTGCTTTTGAAAGTGAAGGACATGTTCCATAATTTTAGTGCAATTTTTTATCAAAACTGTTATCAAATGCTCATTGGACGTTCTAAGAGAAAACTCCTTTGTAGAAAGAATTAAGTAGGCATTTTGAGACGAGTACCTGCCCAAAATTCATTGAAGAAATTAAGCCTAGAAGAATATGGCTCAGAATGGGGGAAAGAGACAATTTTAGGTTTTCCAGTATTTCCGTGACACAAAAAACCTCAATCCTATGCAGCCCGGCTTGGCAGTAGCTCCAGGGGACCGGGGAGAGGCTGCCAGCCCCAGCCAAGTCAGGCTGCGGGCGGAGGCGACGCT